GAACAGCGAGAGTATGGATAGGCGTGAAACTCCGAAAATTCATCAGGCCTTCACCGATACCTTGCGAATACAGTTAGGGTCCAAAAAGGCGGCCAACCTATGAATTCAATTAATCATCCAGAACGATTTATTATTACAATTGTTACGGCCCCTCATTTAAAAAGCACGTATTTGACTTATTGTTAGTTTCTGCCTGCATTTTCTTGTTTTGCGGAAGAACGCTCATTTATAATATTCTTGGTGATCCTGATTTGATAGTTGAATCTGAAGATTGGCAGTGACATTTTGTGTCTAGGAGGGTTGGCTGCCCTTTTGGGTCCTAGGCCCTCCGTGAAACGACCTATCCATACTCTCGCTATGTAGGTACTCTATGATGTATGCAAGATAATCGATAAACATCGAGGTTAAAAAACAAAATCATTTTTATTTCATTTAATTTGCAACCTCTATGGAAAGAGCTCAACTACCTAAAAACACCTGGCACGAAATCCACAAAAGGTGTAATGAAAATTTGCTTTGCGTTGTCCTTAAAATGCATCTAAAGTAGAATCAACTTTCGAAAATTCCCTAAGGAAGCCTCCCTGCAAGTGGGTATTCCATGATGTTGATGAGTCAAGAACAATGAGCGAATAACCGTAGGGATGAGGAAGAGACGCTGATTACTCTCCTCACTGCGTGTCCCCAATCTGACTAGTTCGCCTTCAATCACCGCGATGGCAATATGAGCGGCATGGGAGCGCGAATATTTGCGCGCATATGGTTGTGTCATATACCGAGGAAATTATTATGCATTGAAATCATACATGCATACGTACGTAAAGGTATACGTCCTTTCTTTCAATTTTTTGTAACTTCTCTTGATCTTTGCTCTAGGTTTTAATGACCCAGCTTCATTAAAACACCTATAAAAATAAATATATAAAACAACAACAACAATATATATTATGTATTCGACGGGCAAAATAATTATCAAGGCAACTTTCAGTCTTGTTTACTGCTTCTCATAATTCTACCATCAAAACATAACTTCACCGCACGATGGGTATCAGCCGACTCGTATTAATATGAAAATCTCCGATACCTTTTTGAGCGAAATTGCTGCGCGACCCTTGAACTCTCGGAAAACGAGGCTGAATTTATGTCCTGGATAGTGGCCACACGTCAGGTGAATATAAAATTCTACACACTCTCCATCTTGAAAGATATCCGAGCAATGTCAATCGAGGAGAAGCGTACTGCAACGTCAAACCGAGGGCTCATTTTAAAATTCTGCACTCATTCGTAGCTCAAAGCTTATCCATAATTCATAATTCCGGCCTTCTTGGTTCTGGTCCGTTGTTAGGACAATTTGATTCGCCGCGCGCCGCACAATGGGACGAGTCCATCACAGAGGTCGGACATGTATTTTTTTTTACTAAAACTGCAAATTTTGATGTTTATTTTGTCACATTTTTAACTTTAAGGGGTGCTCTAAGAAGAAGATTCTACGAGGAAACCAATGAAACCACTGTCAGAACCTCAAAGTTGTGTATAAACGGAGGTATAAGCGTTTAAAGTTGCCAAATTTTGTGCGACCTCTCCTACTGACTCGATCCACTGTGCGCCGCCCAGAGCTCTCTGGTTTGCAGCTCCGTGTGTGTGCCTCTTCGTATCCGCATTGTTGGACTGTGGATTTGGAGGCCACCGAGGGAAAATGGCTTTTCATCAAGGATTAGATACAAATTCAAAACGGCAATTATGGAACCATGTAGGATAATAATTTACTCCGCGTTATAGGATTAGAGAATATCTTTCAGGGAGGCAGTTGGAGAGAAGGCTTTTCCAAATATTTTGGCTGCATTACGCGGCATTTCGACGGCGAAACCCCCAAACCACGTATCTCGCTTTGCTACGTTGCTGACTATTTGTCATCATTAATTTTTTGAATGGAAAACTACCCAATGTCAATTTTTTAAAAACTTCTATGAATTTCTTCTCTGTGCGAAGAAAATTCTGTGAAAACTGAAAGGAATGATTTTGGTTCGCTCTCCACAGGTAAAAAATAAAATAGGAGCGGAGCATTTAAAACACTGCTAATGAGATACGAGGTCCGGGAATTTCACCGCCGATATTATTTCCCGTAACTTACACCTGGTTTGGAGTGCTGAAGTTTGATTGGGGCCATAAATCAATCAGTTGACAGGATCTATTTTGGAATAAAAAAACCGAGGTGGCGCGTCAATAGTATAATAATAGAAAATAAGCAGTAATAACAGTAGGAGCACTTAATAGGCAGCAGTTCAATATTTTAAGCAGCTCATATTTTATTTCAAAACTTCAGACAAACAAGAACAAATCAACAGAAAGTAATTAATAGGGCGCTTCTTGAATATCATTTGAAAGCGATTTGAACACATTTTATTCATGAGGCAACCAGACTTTTTATTTATGTCATTTACCCCAAAATCCCTACTGTAATCAATGATGTTTCTCGGTGACCCTCTTTTTCGGTTTCATTTAATCGTTGCCAGTAAAACAGAATCTTAAACTTAAATGAATAACTTTCGTACAAAAATTTAAACAAGTCTACATAATTCTTTACATTATAAAATTGACTAATCTTAAAAAAAGAAGAAGAATATATAAAATCCCTCCTAAATAGCTTTTTTCAATCTTTCATGTCCCTACTTCAATCCAAAAACCTTCATCATGGTTGCCAAAAACCACTACTTTTCTCAGTAAAGGTCTGCTGCTGATGCATTTTCCGACCACCCCTTTTTTGTGACCGCCATGCATCTCAAGATATGGCTCCCTCTTTTCCTCCACAAATTATGAAGTGAGTTTCCCTCAGGACTAGACCATAAGTGATCAGCACCTTGATTTTCCTGGGCAGCGTTGTTGAATGCGCGCCGAGGCATGAGCGCTGATTGCACCGTGTCACCAAATGTCGCGAATAAGTGCAAGTAAATGAAAAAAAACCTGAACACCCGCTTATCGTTCTTGGCACAGTTCGGCAAATGCATGATCGAGATAATTGTCCCGCATCGGATCGATTCGTCAAAGACCCGAGGTCGTTTACAAATCGGATCTCATCTTTTCTGCTCATTGAGCTTCCAGGGAAGCCTGGAATTTGAGTAATGGGCTTCGGAAATATTTCCCGCTACTTTCTGCCGAAGTCCTTCGGCGCGGGGAGTCGGGTCAAAAGAGAGCGCACGACTAACTGCCTGGCTCAAAATAATTTCAAACCTCGAGACTCAACATTGTCGCAAACGCGAAGTCCCTAATCAAGGTAGCAGAGTGCGATGAAAATATTGGAATCAAATCGCGATTTAAAGTGCAATTAAATTGCATTATTTAGTCAATAAATGCCGAGGCTTGAACGACCAAGGAGATAAGCTCCATGTATCAGAAAGATCGGCAATTTAAATTAGTAGGTAAAAGTAACAACATAATCCGGGAAAAGGATGCAAAAATAGGTACAGAAAATTCAAAATCGGGACGTTCGAATTAACAACAATCTCATTTTCGACCGGAAAAAAATGAGTCGTCGATGTGCAGTTATTGTGAGACCAAGACTGACAAAAAAATGGTTCCGGAGGTGATGAGAAAAAAATTAAAATTGAGAAAATCCACCACAACCTAAAGAAGTTGCCTATTTCTGTTTCGTCTTGCAACAGAAGATATTGTTCGTTGATATCAATTGTTTTCAATTACAAGTATCCTTAATTTGAAAAATCAATCAAAAGGAAGTGACAACCAAAAAAAGAAAAATACTTATCATCTAATATAACAAAATAAGACTGTGCAAACGCGTAGAGGTTGAATTCGTGTAAAATGAGTAAGTTAACGGAAGTAGCAAAATCACAATTAATCAATAATGTAAAAATGGGCCTTATCTTCCAAAAATTCAAAAATAAGTTATCAGTACCACTACAGAGATGAAGAAGTTGAGCATTTTAACGCAAGTTTGACTCTGAAAGCCGAAAAATAAGGGGTGGCGTCTTAAATTTCAGGACAAAATTTCTTGAGTTTTAGGTTAAATTTTTAGGTTAAATTTAGGTTAGGGATTCTGACATGCACACAGAAATAGATCAGCTAGGAACGTAAATTTGAACCTTTCCCTCTCGATGCGGCTCTCCTGTAAAATTTTCTCACGGAAGATAAGGTTGCTTTTCACAGAATCTGTTAAATATGTTTTTTAGGAAACGCTTTTCGCTTTGAAATCAATTGTGATGACCGGAGACGTAAATGGGTGGCCAAGGGGACCTACCCCCTCCCCAAATCTACTCAGCCCCTCTCAAGAAACGTTAAGAATTCCTAAAGTTAGTGCATGATATATCTTTCGTCTTGGAAAGTATAGATTGGGATCGATATTTCGGTGGGAATAGCTCAAACTTCTCCTCTGACGACTCGATTTTTCTAAATGTTCCGGGAGAGGCTCCCCAGACTCCCATACTGCCGGGCTAAGGAAGAACGCCGTATGAACATTCGAGAGTTGCCGAATTTCTCTCGATAAAATATGTAGTTTTGACGACATTCATGCACATTTTTCCTTGAAATTTGCAGAAATTTTAGATTAAATTGCGTAAAATTTTGTCTGAAAATTTTGGAAAAAATATTCACAAATTACCCAGTAATTTCGGGTTTTTTCGAAGGAAACTTGACAGCGTCTGAGGGCTCATAAGGCGTTTTTCCTCAGCATAGCAGCATGTGAAACTATAAGAAATTTCCCCGAACTCTGCTTTGGAGCCAGGAGAGTCAAGCAAACGCATGCAGACCCCTAGCTTTAATATTTTATCAGTTTTCTTGTGCCCCTAAGCCTGACTTCCGCCTTAATGCCCCCTTCTC